GACCTACAAATCTGAACTTCCTCTGCCTTCTTGAATGTAATAGTTGCTCATTATTAAAACACACTCTTTTCTCTCTAGCGACTGTGTGATTTCACCAGTGACATGGGTTCTCTTTTCTTTCCCACTGACCTTGAACCTCAGCAATGTATTCATTGCCCACAGTGACTCCTTGTGTCTTCATTAGAACATATCTAAACACACGTTTCGTAGCAGGCTCAGAAGGGTGTTATGACTTGTTCATCCTCTCACTTTTCACTCCTGGTACCTGGCAATCTCTGGTTCCAGTCACAGAAGTGACCATCACCAGGCCCCTCATGGGGTCCCTGGAGTATTTCCATCCTTGTCTTCCAATCTTGCCTATTTGCTAACATCTACCACCATATGGTTAGGTCCTGTCCACTCCCCTGAGTTGAGCACTCATAGCACAATGCAGTTAAGCAGCTCAGAACTGACTGGGCACCTCCCTGCCTGGGACCACCTCTGTTTCAGAGGAGTAGGAGAGTCCTTTGATAGCAGCAAGCATATCATATACCTTGATAGCTCTCTTTTTGCCTTGCCAAGTGCCATCTGTTTAAAATGTAGGGTAACTGCACTGCATTTTTTTTTTTTTAAGACCTCAACCCAACCAAAGAAACGCAGCCTGAAAGTCCCCTTATAATCACTGTGCACCTAATGTGGAAAATTTCCACAGGTCCCCTCAGTGTCCCCATTACACTTTCTCTAGCAGATGTCTGTGCTACACGGGGCTCCCACTGCTGCCTATTTTTAAAATAATTCACTATCTGTTTACTTTTTGTCCACCCTTGTGAGAAAAAAAGCACAAAAAGTAATCTCTTCCCCCCAAAGATTTGATAGCATCCATGTGGGTTTCCCCTCATAATGGCAGTCTTCCCAATCCAGAGAAAAATAAAAACTCCAGTAATGAACTAGATACAAGTTTCCTGCACTAGGAGTGTCTCACACCAAGTCAACTTGCTGAGAAGGTTTTTAAGGAGAACAAATGACCGAATTTCAGTTCCTAACTTTGTTACCCCTGAGGGCTATTCTCTTTTCGAGGGAGTATTCTTAGTTCTGTGCCTAGCTCATTGTTTTGGTTTTATCTGTGGACTATCTGACGAGGTCTGGACACTGTACACCTTTTCAGAAATTAGTTCTTTATATGGGAATGTTTATGGAACTGGTATCCTCCCAAGAGTCTCCTGTTTAAGAAAATCTTACTTGACGTATCATCCTTTCCAACTAAGGAAAGAAAAATAGAAACATCCCTGGAAAATTCTTGGTTTCCTCTACCAAAACCACAGGGATGTAGGGGAAATAAAATCTCTAAACTCCTGTAATTTTTTTTTAAAGTTATTATTACTTGTAGAAGACTGCTTTGTGGTGTGTGTGAAAGTGAGATTCTGTAGTCTATAACTTTTTCCCAGGACTTTTTTTTTTTAAGAGAAGATGACGTTTCTCCAGATGTTTTTCTGGGTAATTATTTTTTAAACAAACAAAGGAAGAAAATAGCTGAGTATTTTTTTTTTTTTTTCACTTGAAAACCAGGCACCAGGCGCCTCAAGCCATCTGCAGAGGAAGGCGGACGCAGAGACCAGCTCGTCACGCCCTGTGGCAGGTGGGCAGGGCCGCGCCTCGCTGCCCAGCAATCCTCACTCGTTCCCTTAACTGTGCCTGTGCCACGGTGCAGCTGGGATCACATTCACGTGACAAAACACAGGGGACAAAGGACGTGTGGCCCAGTCAGTTCTCCAAAATGCCAGATTAGGAGGAGGGAGCAGCCAGCCCCGCCACTCAGCAAGAGCTGGCCATCTTTTCCCATCGAAGGGCAGCAGGGGACACGGGGCTGGTGGCCACCACTCTTCTTACATGAAGTCCTGTGTTTATTTAGGTAACGCGAATATGACCAGAGCGCATTCTGAAATTCCCCGCAGATACCCGACATCCGGCATTTCCTCGTGAGTTCTAGCGTTGGCTCAATTGTTTCTACACTTACGACAATGCCTCGTCCTAAGAGATTCTGCCATTAGTCTTTTCAGTCAAATGGCTGCACGCAAATGCCAAAAAGTCCCAGTGGCTGCTCAGCAATCTGATGAGATGGGACATCCCCGTCTCATCTGCCACTACAAAGCTCACTGGAGGGAGCCCCAAGCCTGGTTCTGAAGGGGCCGACCCCCTGCAAATCAGCCCCACACAGGCTCCCGATGATGAGCGGGTGCTCCAGGCGTCCTCCGGTACTGACGGAGGTGTGTTCTCTACCCATACACACCGCAGCTACTGTGGCAGGGCGGGGCTCGGCGCACGGCGACTGACTGTGTGGAGAGGAAGGACTGGAACCCCGGTCAGCCTGCACCTCCAGGCGCCCTGGCACCGGGCTGCACAGCCCTCATTGTGGGAACCGGCCTCCTCGGCGCACCAGGGAACAGGCAGGAGGCAGGATGGAGCTAAGCCCTGGCCAGATAATCTATCACTCCAGGGCAAGAGCCCACCTTTTCTGAACTAGTCTAAGTGTGAACTAGCCTTAAGCGTGAACTAGCCTTAAACGTTTTCTAATGAAAACTTGTAAGCGAGACGCACTGAGACAAAACCCCTGGTAGTTATCCAATGACGTAAGAGTCTGAACACAGGCATGTTTTGAATTCTGGGCCAGCAAACGGTCACCAACCCAATACTATACTTTCTTAATTCTTTCCAGTTTCCTGAAATAAAACCAAAGCATGTCACGGAATCTGCACCGATGGAGACTTTGTACCATCAAATCTCTCTGTGACTTTTCAGTTAAAACCAACAGGCCTGGGGCCCTCCCTGGTGGTGTAATGGGTTAAAGGCAGCACTATGAAGCTGTCCGCAGCCGCTTCAGCACGCTCGCGCCCCAGCCAGGGAGGTGACCCACATGGCGTGGCAGACCTCTCCTGACCCGCCCGCTGCTCCCCTCAGCAGTGTACAGTCCATCGGCCTGTTCTGCTCCCCACTCTGTCTCTGGTGAATCATCTCACTGCCCCTGCACCTCTGGCCTGTAGCCCAGTGCTGTATGCATGAATAAATCAATCTTAAAAAAAAAAAAAAGGAAAAGAAAACTCACAGGCCTGTAACGTAAGCGACCTGTCTGTTGGGCGGGGGAGACTCACCGCTGTATGTACGAGTTGTTCACCCCGCGGTGGTCCAGGTCGTGGCTGAGTGCGGCGATCAGCAGCGCCAGGGTCTCGAGGTCGCTCAGCTTGTTCTGCGTCAGCAAAGGCATGGCGGGTGAGAGAGAGAACTTGGCGCCCGGAACTCACACCTCTTTCTAGGATCTTGGGCCTTTCCCCTGGGCGCTTGGCAGCTGTGCTCCGTCACAGCCGCGGGGACTCCCTCGGGGACGGTATTCTAGAGACCTGGGTGTGCGCTGCGGGCCAGGCTGGCGCTTACCAGAGTCACGCCGCAACAGAGAAAGCGAAATGCCCCTGCCACGAGCAGCGCAGTACCACGGCCTCCTCGCCGTCCACGTGCATGTGGGACGGCCAAGCCGCGCCTCCTACACCGCCCTCCCCTCTCCGCACTTCGCCGCAGATTCTCCACCCCGCTGCTGCCGCCCGCAGGCCCTGCTTCCCCACAGAACACACCTCGGTGGGTACTGAAACAGATGACAAAGGGTAAACAGGGGACTGGCAGGGGAGCTTTGGCTTTGAAAGCGCTGCATGCCAGACTCCCAAGATCAACACTGTGATTTCTGAAGAGCTGCCATCGTGCGATCTATGCCCCACTTCCTTCGTTAGAAGAAACCCGCTGAGATGCCCCCGCCAGGTATCACCCATCACCCTTTCTGCGGGACTCTGAACACTGCCCCCTGCTAAGTTGCCGGCAGACATAAAAATCATGTGTTTGTTTTTTAATTCACACACACACAAAAAAAAACAAAAAAACAAGGCCATTGTCGTATATACGAGGGGTATATAATCCTTATCGCCTGCTCGGCATCCTTCTAAGGACGCTCGCCCTGCCGCGTCTATCTGCTTGCCAGACCCCCTGGGAAGCCAGCTACATCTGGGCCCATGGAGTTAAGGGCAGACTGAAACATTTTTATACAGTAAGAAAAATGCATGGACGCTCTGAATGATCAACGCACTCAGTCGCGTCCCTGCAAAGTCAGAACGGAAGGACAGAGCCGCGAGGAAGACTGGCCCGGGAAGAGCGGATTACTCAAACACTGGGTCTTCTTGCGGAGAACATACTCCCTGATCAGCGTGTATGGGAAAATCCCCTCCCGTGAATGAAACAGCGCAGGTAAATTTAACTGATTGAGCCAGCGAGGCTGAGAGAGAATCCTGGACGCACCCAGGAGGCCAAACACAGGACACGGTGATTTTGTGAAATTCTGCTTGGAAGCAGGGTGAATGTGGACATGAGAAATGTGATATTTTTCTTACTCAGCAGAGTTTTTTCTCAAAGGCTAAGAGACTGACACCCAAAGGCGATTTTAGTTAAGCATGAGGTTAAAGGTTTTTAACATACCAAATACACTACAGATGAAAGAAAACGAGCAACTTTGTATTTTGCCATTTCAGTTTTCTTTGGTTAGGATCACAGAATGTGCTTTCAAAGTGTCACTAACTGTTAATTCTTCATCTTAAGTGAATATGAAAACAAATTTTACAGAACACGCTGTAAAATTTACTACCATAAGCAACACAATGCTATAAATATATACATGGTTCTAACAAGTACCTGGATCTTGCCTGCTTTCAGGGCAGCAAACATGCACTGGGCTGTGTTAAAGGCGTGTCTCCAGTTGTGATAGGCGACGTTTTTCCGGTAATTCTTCTTCACACTTAAAATCCACCTGCAGAGAACCTTTGGAGAAGAAAGCGGAAGGACTCACACTCAGGGCTGAAGACCCCTGCCCAGGCCAGGCCAGGGCCTGCTCCATCCTCCGCCGTGAGGGAGGTATCCTGATGGCTCACAGTGGACAGGCTGCTCACTGAGAGCAGGGCCAGGCCCGCCGGGTGACCCCCACACTGAGGGAGGAGGGCTGTACTGGTGTTTTGGCCCGGCTGGCTTGTGAGAAGACAGCTCTCAGTTAGCATCCGCATCCACGCGCACAGATGAGTGTTTCACCTGCTGAGGTCTCCCCGCCACGCCCCCACACACTGCGCTCTGCCTGTGTTGGGGACAGGACACAGGAGGCTGGGTGGACAGAGGCCGAGGGGTGTGGCAAACAACCCCAGGACAAGCTGGAGCTCCGAGACCCCAGCCAGCCATCCAATTTCGGGTCTCTTTTAGACTCTGCTGAAATGTTCAGGGAGTTGCTGCATGTGCACCGAGAGATAGCTACATAGACAGATACAGACACAGATGTAAAACCCTAGATGGCCATAGGGGAAAAAATCTTGAAAAAATGGGGGGAGGGAAGACAGTGTTTAGAAAATCTCACAAGCTGGGCTCAATCTAACTTTTAAGTGGTGCATTCAAATCAAACCCCTGAGGGACTTCTGGTTATTTTGTGTTTGTGTTAGATTGGAAACTGCCTCTTCAATTCTGAATGATTTACTATGCTTTGGGGGATGCAAAAATAACTATGTGCTTCTCTCTCCGTATCACTGGGGATGTTTCAAACACACAGTGTTGCCCTAGGGGGTTGGGAAAAGTACCCTGGAAAAAAATGTGGCTTTCACAGAATTCAGCACAGGCTGACAGGCTGCAAAGCAGGCCAAAGCGAGAGTTCCACAGCAGCGGTAGGAAGGGCTGGTAGATTTGGTAGGAAATCGGACTGACATCCCCCCTTTCCTTTTGCACCTGGTGTGCCTCACAGGGCCCTGTGGTAACAGAGGCCCAGAAAGTCGCCTCGTCACAGGAAAGCTCGCCTGCCCCAGACTGACAGGGCGACGACAGGGCACTCTTTCACCTTGACCTCTCCTGAGAAAACCGGGCCAGGAGGAACGTATCTTAGTGTCATTGTTAGCAGCATCTTTTTTTTCTTTTTGAGGTTTAGTCTTGTATTTTTTGTAATCAATTTTCAGTATCTTCCAACGTGTTTGTCCTAATTAGTGTTATGAGCTTTTCTCACTACATCTTGTATTTGTCCTGGAAGCGTTTCAGTCACATGCTCCCTTTCTAACACTGCCCCTCCCGCCCCTTCACCTGGGAGCGCTTTCTCCACATCCTCTCCAGCTCTGTGGTCTTGGGAGGATTCTAAGTAGGAGCCATAAGCTTCCCTTGATCTACATGGAAACTATACGGTGAAATGCTGCAGGAAATCACTAGTGATTAGTTACCGAAATCCAGGAAAATATGCTGCAAGACCCAGAAATCTGACCTGCATACGTACATCCCACCGCATCTGTTGACAAAGTTAAATACGCACAGATGTTAGATGCGTGAGAAACAGCTACAGGGGCCACGGAAGCTCACTCAGACGCAGGGGTGTGCTGTGCTTCCGTTACGTTCGGCCGAACGGTGGTAACTCGGTGGCTACAGCGTCTGTAACCCGATTTAAACCCAGTTTGGATTCGGCCATCGCCCGGGTAGAAACAGCCCACCGGCAATCGCGGTGGCATCTGCTAAGGGCGGGGTCGATCTGCCAGGCCGCCAGCAACCGTCCTCCCCGGCTCTGGAACCTGAGCAGTGGGGACGGAGCAGGGCACGTCAGACAGAAGTGCACACGGGGAGACTCAAGGTCACTGCAACAGTCCTTTCTGCTCTCGCTGTCTCGTGTTGCTGGCCACGCAACAGCTGCGACACCGGTGAGGATCCTGCTCCGCCAGACAGGGCCGGGGTGAGGCCCCGCCCTGGCCCTGGGCCTGGGGCACCGGACCGTGCTGAGGGCAGAACACGCTGTGGCCCCCACGGGCGCAGACCCGGCCGGGAGAGGACCAGCAGGGCGGAGGCGGACGCGGGAAGCAGCACTGCGAACACGGGCCGCTCAGGAGGCCGCGAGGCCCAGGCAGCGGAGCGTTGCCTGCACTGGGCACCCTGGGGCCGCTCTGCCACGCAGAGATGCTGCAAAGTGACCTCTCGGTGGGGACACCCTTCACCAAGGCAGGGCAGGAGGCTGCCGTCCTCTCCACCGGGAACATTGTCCAAAATAAGCCAGGCTCACTAAGGCAGGAAGGCCGAGCAGAAGGACCACAAGGCTCAAGGTGATGGTTCCAGAGCCAGAGTACGTGACCCCAACGGAACAGGCAGGCAGGTGAATCAGACACAGCGGACAGTATGCGCAGTGGATCAAGATTCAAGAACAGGTAAGAAAGAAGATGGGTAAGGAAAGTCTGAGCAGCAGTCTTCACGCCCGACACTCAAGGGCCATCTGCGAGCAAACCATAGGAACAAAGATCACAGCCTGGGTCCTGGCCGGGCCTCCGCAGAACCACTCGTCGCTTCAAACACCGGAGCCCTCGGGAGCAGAGGGGAAGCTGAGACTCCGTCCAGATGTGCGCATCCCCAAACTAGCAAGGACTCACACTGAGACCTTCTGACTATCAATAAATGGCGTTTTCATTCCATTAACAGAGAAGGCTTTTGAAAATTGAGCCCTATAGATTATGCCAGCTGAAAATAGTCAGAAGGAAAAACAAATACCGGATGGCCTCAACTCTATGTGGAACACAGAGAAACCAAACAAAAGGTCAAGGAAAAGCCAAAGCTAGCTGCTGCCCACAGAGCTGAGGCATCCAGCAGAGGCTGTCAGAGAGGGAGGGAAGAAGGCAAGGGAGTAAGGTGACAGCTCACAGGTGCTATGGTGGCAGGAGAACTATGGGGACTACAGTGATGCAGGGGGGAAATTTAATGGAAAAACAAAAACAGGTGAGCCCTATAGCCTATAAAAGCCAAATATGATGAGGTGCTTTTCTTTTAAAGATTTATTTTTACTTATTTATGCAAACAAGACTGGGCTGTAGGCCGGAGATGCAGGAGGTGAGAGGATTCACCAGAGACAGAGTGGGGAGCAGAACAGGTAGATCGATGAAGTACACTGCTGAGGGGAGCAGTGGGGAGACAGGAGTGACCTGCTGTGCCATGTGGGCCAGCTCCCTGGCTGGGGAGTGAACTCATGCTGCAGTGGCTGGTGCAGCTTGACAGAGCTGAGACTTTAATCCCTGCACCACCAGGGAGGGTCTGTTGGGGTGATAAGACCGTGGTGCACGTGGCCTAAGAAAGGAGAGCTGACATCGCCCTACCCTCGGTGTTCAGCAGGATATCTCTCACACACACACACACGTTTAGACACAGACAACCACACACCGGCACACGTGCAAGGCCGCCTAAGGACGGTCATGTTATCCCCCTTTAGCAGACTAGGGCACCAAGAACATGAAGCATGAACTGCCCGGGAGGTAAGACCTACGCACTAGCCACCCCGAGCCCTCTGTTCCACCGCACTCTCTCCGTGTGTGAACAGGGACAACCACCCACGACACCCTTGGGGTCGTGAATCAATCACGGGACACGACACCCCTTCACACGCTCTCACAGGAGTGGAGTATTGCAGGAGAAGGTTCGAGAGGGAGCTGTTTGTAGCGCCAGGGAGCAATATGAAACTCGGCTGAATGGAAGAGGCAGCAGACTCGGGCCGGGACACTCGGGACGACACGGGTTAACCGTAGCCAGAGAAGCTCTGAGTTCTCCTTCCTGTGAGCCTTTGAGAACAGGCTGTCTTGGCACTGAAATGTGCTAACAAACTTGAATCATGAAATGCGTGTTTCCATAAATATTTCAACTAGGAATTAATGGACTGCTGAGGAGTAATTTTTCAGACAGGAAATCCGTGTGAGAGGAGGCCGAACAAACGAACCCAAGGCCAGTTACGGACTCTCTTTCCCGGGCCTCTCTGCTCTCCCTTGCTCCAGGTGCCGCCGACACGGGCGTTGAGACACCGAGGCGAATCCCTGCCACCCCCAGACCGGGCCCGAGGGCACTGCCGCGCCCTACTCGCGGCCAGGGTCGGCTTCCCGTTACAGTCCTCAGAGGAGCGACCCAGGCGGCGCTGCGGGCCTGCGGAAGCCCCTCTGGCTGCTGCGGCTCCCCGGGCACGCGGCTCCCAATCACAGCTGCGCCCTGCGTCTCCCCTTCCTCGCTGGTGGCTCTCCGGCTGCTCACCCCTCCGGCCGGCGTCCACAGCCGTCCCCCGCCCCTCCGTCGGCCTCCGCACACGCGGCTGCTTTCAGATCCGCACCCCGCTTCCCCCGATGCTTAGTGCAGGCTAGGAACCCATTAAATGTGTCTGTGATGGTGAAAAATTCTTCTTTAGAATAAGCCTTGGAAACTACCGCAGGGTCCGGTGACAGAGGGTGGGAAGAGGAAGCTCTGGTCCCTCCACACAAGGAAGGCTCAGTCCTCAGCGAAGCCGAGACGGGGCCACCCGGGCGCAGGGGAAGGGCTTGCGGGAGTGACCACGGCAAAGCAAGTCCACTGAAACTGACAGCGCCGGGTAGTTGGACAGTGGGGGACTTGGCAATAACACATGTGAAAACTGGCGAATGCTCATCCAGGAAGAGAGGCCGGGAGGGGGAAGGGCACAGGTGTCAGGGCGGTGACAGCTTCAGCTGTCGGTCAGCTGGGGCTCCGTCAGTCACATTTAAGAATCCCTATTCCGGGCCCTCCCTGGTGGCGCAGCGGGTTACAGCACAGCACAGAGAAGCTAAAGCCACTTCCGCATGGGTTCGATCCCCGCCTGCCCCGGAGGTGACCCATACAGCACGGCAGACCTCTCCTGACCCGCCCGCTGCTCCCCTCAGCAGTGTGCTTCATCAGTCGGCCTGTTCTGCTCCCCCCTCTGTCTCTGGTGAAGCCTCTCACCGCCCCTGCACCTCTGGCCTGTACCCCAGTTCTGTGTGCATAATAAATAAATCTTAAAAAAAAAAAAAAAAAGAATCCAAAGAATCCCTATTCCGTATCAGTGCCGCCAACTCAGTCCCTCTTACACAGGCCCCGTCCCTACCTCGTGCTTCATCTGAAAGTTCTGCACCAGGTTGAGGTCCGTGAACATGCGGATGGTGCACAGGGCCGTCTCCAGGTCGGAGAGCTCAAAGTCGCTGAAGCTGAAGTCAGTGATTTTCAGGGTCTGGGCAGATGGCACCACAGCAGCCTGCGGGACGAGGGGGGACACGCGGACGGTTACTCAGAGCGGCACCCAGGCCCAGCACGGTACCTCCAGGCCTCGCTCCAGCCACAGGAATTCGTGGGGCCGTCAGCCCCGTGTTGCGGGCTGGGGTCAGTGTCGCGCTGCGCGGTGATAAAGCAAGCGGCTGGCGTGGGAGTCCCCGGACGACCTCAGGAGTGGAATCCTGGCGCCAGTCTCCAGGAAGCTCGTTTCCCCACCACGGGCGTCCCCTGGGTGGGGCGCCGAACCCACCTTCCAGTGCGGGGCCGTCCTGTCCTGGCTGCGCTGGGGCCCAGCCTAGAGACCCCCAGGCCGGGCCTGAGCCTCAAGGCCACCCGGGCGTCTTGCAAACCTGCCTGGGGGCCCTGTTCTGTAGAGCTGGGGTTGCGTCTGGGGAAAGCTGTTTTGGTTTTGGGGGACAGCAGTTTGCCACCTAACATTCTTGATTAGGATTCTATAATCAACGGTTGTAAACCGCCAGCAGTGTCTCCGCTCTGCCTCCCGCTTCTCTGCGGCACAAGGCTCCTCAGCGCATGTCCCACCAGAGAAGGGCCGCGGGCCTCCAGGGCCGCCCCCGGGCACAGGAGCACCGCCCTCTGCGGGACCTTCACGGAATGTCTCCTGGCCACCCTGGGGGGCTGCCTGTTGCAGCCCCGGGCAGCACCCTGACCCCGCACAGAAGGCCCTGACGTTTGCTGATATGGGAGCGCAGCAAACTGACAGCGGGGGACCTCGCGCCCTCACGCCGAGGCTGCAGCTCCGTTACCGGGTCCTACGTCCGGCCTTGAAGGTCCACTGGTCCCAGCGGCACGAAGGCCAGGAAGCCAGGATGTCAAGTGCACACCAGCATTACTAAGCAGCTTTTAAAACCACCAAATTTGTTATCCTGTTTAAAAAACGGGGAGAATTTAGCGAACGGTGGTGGGGAGGAGTTTCTGGTTGTCCAGCAAAGTCAGAGCACACTGAGCCCCAGTCCCCAGCTGAGGTCACGGCCGGCTCCTGGGCTGCCCCAGAGCTGTAGGGTGCTGCTCCCCTAGGTCCCTGCTGTGACCCAGGGGAGGACCCCTGTTTGCCCACCCCGCCCCTCCCCCAGCAGCACTGCCTCAGTCAGAGAGGGCTGGCACCACCGAGGGGGCAGGGGGCAGAGGTCCCCCGGCTGGGAGGGTGAGGAGGGCGGCACATCTGACTGGCTCCTCCTGCTGCCCCTTGTGCGTGGCTCCCTCAGCCCTTCCTGGGGAGTCCCCTGCGCCGCACCCTGCGGCTTGACTGCCGCCTTGGGAGAAACAAGGTGGAAATACCACCGCACAGCGTGACCTACGCGCATTCTCCTGCTCAGGAGCAGCTCCTCAGGTACCCAGCCACTTTTAAGTGCGTTTTTAAGTGACTGCCTGCCTCACACTGCAAACTCAGTCTCTTTGCCCAAGACCAAAACTCACAAGACATACGCACTCTGTGAAGTCAATCCTCAGCCTAACGCGTGGGCTGAGGGGAGAGGCCACAAGTCTGCACAAAAGGCTTCCCTGTGCTCACAACAGCTGCCAGCATCAGAGCCGGGCAGTCACTGAGGCCTTGCGGAGGTGGGAGCCGCCCACCGCAGCTCCAGGCTCTGCACAGCTGCCTCCCTCACACACCTGCGCCCACAGGAGAACAGATGTTCCTTTCCCTCAGGGCTTCGTTATTCTTGCAACAGGAAGTTTTCCTTCCTTCCTTCCTTCCTTCCTTCCTTCCTTCCAAGAAGACTCTAGGGGAGGCTGCAGGAAGGCAGCCGCTCACTGCACCCCGAGTCCCCAGCTCCCCACGGACAGACAGATCACCTCCTCTTCAGCAGTTTCAGCAGCACCACCCCAGCCTGTGCTAAGGGCGGGGGTTGGGGGGGGAACGGGCCAGTGCCGCCCTTCAGAAGCCCGTGGCCAGTGAGTCATGGCAGTCGGCACCACGGGACCCCGATAGCCACGGCTCCACAGGTCCTCACTACATACTCCACCCTTGGCAGTTTGCTGACACCCGAAAACCAGGGACAGAGGTGTTTTAAATAATACACAGTGCCTGTAATTCTGACCGTTTTGTCAGAAAATAGTCAATCTTTTTACAACAGTGAGGAATCCTGATAAGGGCTGTCTACACAGTTCAGGAGAGCCATAGCTTCTGTTTGGCTGCCAGTTTGATTTGTTGGACTTCGCCCAGGGAGATTTCGGACCCTGCCCCCATCAGGGAATAACGGGACATCCACCTGCACTGTGGGCCGGTGACCGACTAGCAGTGTGCACACGACTCTAATGCAGTAAGGCATGTGAAGGTGACGGCAGCCCTGGAGTCGGGGGGCTCGCTGAGCTCCCACGGTGGTGGAGATCCCTCATCTGCTGAGGGCCAGGAGAGAACAAACAGGTGGGTACACAAGAATCTGTCTTGCTTCTCCCTGCTTCGAGCTGGGCCATCTCATCACATCACGCCAGCTGCCCTGTCAGCAGGCCTTCAGAGGTGTACTGAGTCACACCTCAACTGTCCAGGGTTCTCCAGCCTGCAGACGGAGGACTGCTGGGCTGCCCAGCTTTGTAATCCCTGCAGCCAACTGCTCAGAACCAATATTCTTGGGATGGATGGATGAGTGCACAGACGCACAGAGACAGACAGACAGACAGGCACACAGACATCGGCAGCTATCCATCCCCTACCACTGGTTTTACTGGAGAACCCTGACTACTACATTCATATTTTTCTAAACTCAAAGAAACTCCTGAACTTCTCAGTGCCCAACTGATGAAGACAAACACGAGCCTTCTTTTGTTCAACTATTCCCATTATGAAGATCATCCTCACAGGTAACAGGACAAACAGCCTCCCTTCTATGTACATGTGAAAGATGCCTTTTTGTTCACTCAGCCACACATGTATAAAGTGCACTGTCTCCTTGGAACCCATAAAACCTGTGTTCACAGAAAATACACTTGGGTAAGGTGCATATAATGATCATTTTAAAATTAATGAGCTGCTTATTTTTGGTAGCTGCCTCATGAAAAAGGTCTATTTTTAGCTGGTGGCAAAGTCTCCTGTAACCTCAGGAAAAAATAACGATGTGCGGCTCCATGGATCTACAATTTGCTCAACTGTATAATCTTTATGCAAAAAAGGTCACACAGCCATCAAAAGCATTCTGCCTCCGTTCTCAAGTATCAGACCTCCAGCAACCTGGTCTTCCAGACAATGTCCAATGCTCCCCATGAGCCTCAGTATTTTACAAAGGCACGTTGTTTCCTGACTCCTTGATGTTTATTCATTTCAAGCCATAGATGTGAGGACGAGAAGAGAATTCCCCCAGTGTGCCCTTCTTTCAGAAAATTGCTTTCAGAGTTAAAATGAATCTCGTGAGTTGACGGGCAGCCATGATCAGGGTTTGGAGTTCTCCTCTCAGCCCTGATCACCGCCTACCTGCAGGACGCTCCTTCGTAGGGAGCAGTTTGAGTTCAGGTCTTTGAATAAAGCTCACTTCAGCCCTCACATAAAATCACACAGCAGGCTGTTCTCTCGACCCTTCCCCTCTTTTAACATGGACAGAAAAAATAATTTGTTACACAGAAGAACCCTTATCGTGTACCAGGCTTTTTAAACTCATTTTTCCCTAAGACAAAAGTGACTACAAATATGAAACAGAAATCTGCTTATACAAAGCGAGATAAATATTTAACTCAGTAGGTGGGGCCAAATCTTATCAAGAATAAGCGAACAGTCACAGCAGGACTGAACTCAGATAATTTCTTCAATTACTAAATAAACATGTGTTGAGTTTTCTTTCTAAGATTATGTAAGTAGATTCCCTTCCATATCAACAGGGAAGCAGCACAGACTATTAAAAAAAAAATGTAATGAGAATATAGTTTTTCACAATTATATAAAGAGTGCATGTAATAATGTCAAGATTTTATTACATACATACCTACCTGTACCTAAATCTATAGCAACAGGGACTTAAGTACACAGATCTAGTTGGCATTTCACTGGTACAGAAGCTGGAGAATGGTAGCACCATACTTTGGAGCTACCGTTACCACTGGCACTGACCCTCTAGTGAAATGAAAGCAAAAGAGGTGGTCTTGATACATAAAAGCAGAAAAATAAAAAGAATGTATTAAGTCTTGCCAATGTGAAAAAGATCCACCCCAGCTGATGTTGCAGACATCCATAAAAATGAACGTTGTCAACTGATGGCATAAGGTCCATAGAACCACGCTGTCTCGGGCTTCTCCTAGCCCCGGGAGAGTGCACCTCACTGGACACTGGAGACCAGGGTGACCGAGATCAGCCTGGGCCTTGAGCTCGACCTCTTCTTTGTTATTACCTTCTCTATGCAGAAGACCCTTGTGGATTACAACAGGATCTCCCTTGGCTGTTCCACACATCATCTGTGACTGAAGACACTGCTGTGAATCAGAAGCGAACAGTGCTGTACTCAAACAGCCCTGACTCCATGACAACACCGAGGGGCTTTTTTTTTTTTCCTCCGGGTCGGGGATCGAACTCAAGCTAAAGTGGCTTTAGCTTCATAGTGCAGTGCTTTAACCTGCTGCGCCACCAGGGAGAGACCGAGGGGCTTGTTTAAAAAAATGAAACTATTATATGTATTTATTTACTACACTCTGAACATGAGAGGAAGCAGCAAAGGCAATCAAAGATGCCCTTCACGGTTACAAATGAACACTCGCATCCTGTGTCTGGAATTCATACTGTTTTATGACCAAAACCACATCAGCAGAAGTCTGCTTGTGACTGAGCGCAACAAAAGGTATACGAAGGGCTAGTTAAGAGCTTGTATCTGATAAACGCAAGCTTGCATCAAGAACGAAAATAAGAATGTGATACAACTCATGACAAAGGGGCCCTGGGACAAGGCGAGCCCTCTGAGTGGCGGTGGGTGGGGGACAGGGCCCCTGAGCGCCACAGAGTGTCACAGGGAAGCACTGTGCAAACACTGGCATGAGGTTTCAGGAGCT